TTCTGAGTAATGTTGTGATATACTTAGACTTCCTAATAATGCGTCTTTCTGTTTCTCTTTGTCCTCTTGGTGTTCTGGACCCTGTAGCCTTGCAGGACCACTTCATTCTGAGCCTCTCTGTGAAATTAGAGTTGGATTTCAAGATATCTAAGTTTCCTTCTGCCACTGACATTCTAGGTTTTATGTACATAAACAATGGATCTCGCATCAAAGATCTAGATTCCCAAAGCAGGTTTTGATGTCCATTTCTTATAAGTGGTTTCTTAGATGCATGTAACATTTTGTTATTGTTCTTAACAAAGGTGAAATCATAATCATGAGTTGTAGATTAAAAAATTTATTTTTGTACTGAAAGATACTAGCTGGTCTTTTTTTTAATCTAGCACTATGATCTTTATTTCTCAGGACTTTTTCGTAGGTCTTTAAATAGATCATCTATAAGGAGACATCTCAGGGATTCCCAGGATACATCCATTTGTGGTGTGCTTGGTGTAGTTCTCACTAGTGATGGGGCTTACTATCTGTTCCCAGGGGCAGGAAATAGAGAACACGCTCACTTGAACACAGCCCCCAGCACTTTTGTGAACTGTGCGTGTCTGTATATGCTCTGTGGTCTCAGACAAGTGGCTCAATCTGTCCATGAGAATGTAATGCCCAGTGTTTAAATACTTAAATCTTTCGCAGGCTATACCCCTGGTACACTTTAGGTATGCTTGTTAAAAATTTTTTTTTATGAACAGCAATAGTGAAGTTCAGGAAAATCTAACATTCTGAACGAGCGCAAAGCAATGGATTGCTACCATGAAGCCAGATGCAGGATTTGAAAACTAATCCCCAAAGCGATGAGATTCTGCTGATTCATCAAACAGTGCCATTTAAGTGAGTAAGATTGGGTGAAATACAACCAGATCATAATTTAATGCTCCTTGGCACAAAATTTAACATTATTTATGCCATCTTATGTTTTTTAAGTGATGTAAGTTATCATTTTTATATGATTTGCTCTATGATTGTCCTAGGATTCCTTAGGGTATGATCATAGGCACATTCTGCCTTAATAGTGAAGCTCAAAAGAGGCATGTGGGAACCTCTCCAGTCCCATCAACAGATAGTGTTTAGAAGGCTCTTTAGAGCTGCGGGGAGAATGTTCCTTGAGGCAGAGATAATCTCCTTATTTGATCCCGTCCTATTTTTGTGGTACTGGGGTCTGAACCAAGGGTGGCTGCACTGAACTACATCTCTAGCCTACTTCTTAAAATGTGATAAGTTTTTGAGACACGAGATCTTGCTAAGTTGTTCGGTTCACCAGGCTGGGCTTGGAACTTGGGATCCTCAGCCTCCTGGAGTGCTAGGATTACAAATGTACTCCACCACACTCAGTCTTTTCCCTACTTTTAGTATCTGTGAGTCCTAAGTCTCATCCAGTGAGTTCCCAAATTAGCAGGCAGCTGTGTTGGGGTAGAAGTGAAAGAGTGGTGGCTCCACCAGCTCCTTGACGGACAGCTCACCTGGGCCTGGGCTTCCCTTGGCTCCCCAGAGCTGCAGGCTGGTGCCCAGGTAGACATGAGCAGCTGCTTTCAGATGCGCTCAGTGCCAAAGGTGGTATGGGGTGAAGGACAGTGGTTTGTTTAACTTGCAAACTGGAACTTGCTGTGGGAGTTGTTTGTGACAGCTGGGCCAAACACAGAGTCCCGAGACTGGAAATTCCCAGCGCCATCCACCACCAGTCTTGAAGAGCTGACTGGAAATTTCGTTAGATCACCGTCTGTGAAATAGTTAAGTATGGCAGTGAATGTTTGGGTGGCTGGAAGGAACGAGAATTGGGCTGCTTTTTTCTGCCCTTTGTGACTTACGTGAGCATGTGTGTGATGGAAGAATACAGGGAACGCTTAGATTTTTTAAAAAATTATTACAGTAAAAGACCCATTGTCATTAATTACTCCTCTTTAAACAAACTTACCCCATTCTTTTTGCCACTTTCTGAAGCAGTTCTGGACATCCTCCTTCATGAGTGTCTTTAATTGTTCCTTCTGGACTGCCTGGACATCCTTAGTTGATTCAGAATGTTTACCACTTACGGTCCTTTTGACTTTGGGGAAGAGGCAGAAGTCTGTCATGGCAGACCTCGTCAGCAGGGTAGATGAGGGTGCAGTGTGGAGTTGTACAAGTTCACATTTCTGTTGGATGACATTTCACAGCAACATACACCTTAATTTTGATCATCATACCTCATAAAATCACTTACAAAAGTGGACTTCAGAAAGTTCCAAAGATGAGGGGAGAAGTGCGTTTGAAGCCGAGACAATTATTTTGAGGTCCATTAATGGCAATGAATGTGTCTTTTACTGTAATAAATTTTTAAATACAAATACCCATCACTTCGATCATACGACATAGCTTCTTCCAGAGCCACCAAAACTCAGGAAGGGATGTGTTTTGAAGATTTTTTTCTGCTCTATACCTCTCCTGTCCAACTTCAATTCCTTCTCTTGTTCTGCCTCCTTCCCTTACTGGCCCAAAAAAAGAAAAGCAAAACACAAAAAAAAAGTGTATATAGGTCATGAGGGGAAAAGAAGATATAAAAATGGTTTTAGTAACATTTTGTGGTATTTCCTTCTATTGTTAGTTCTGGGCATGTGTACACACACCCATATATATTTTTATAAGTGAGGTCATACTGTACATGCTGCTGGGTAGTTAATGTTTTCCTTTAAAAATATATTACAGAACTTATATGCATTGAAACCCAAAAGAGATGGGTAGAGATAGGTAAGATAAATAGAGCAAGATGTTAACTGATAGAATCAAGATTTGTGTGTAAGTGTTAAATGGATAATCCTTTCAGCTTGTCTAGATGTTTGAACATTATTGTAAAAAATGTTAGAGGAAAAATCTGGTGAGGGATAAGAAGATAGAAATTAAATAAGTAGTGAATGTACTGTGTGTGTATGTACAGTAACACACACACAACACACACACACACCATTTTGTTGTATTGATAAAATTTAAATGTATCATAGCAGTATCATGACAATAACGCAGTATATCCTGATACCATTTATTCAGACAGTACCTTACTGGTTTTGACCTTTAGGCTATTTGTGTTGATTTTGTTTATTTGTTTCTGTCCTCTATCTCTGTGTGTTTTCACAAGATGGTGCCCTTTTGTGAATTTGGACAGTCATTCTTCTATGTCCTGGAACAAAACATCTATTGAAATTCTTAGTTTCATTTTTATTGTTCCTAAGTATGTGCACAGGTGGCACATTAATTCTGCAGCCAGTTAGCCTATAATAAGCAGGACAATATTTTTAATCAGACAAACATATTCAACCTCCAACGTGTTTATTCTCCCTTGTCTATTTTTTAAAATTATGTACACAGTGAGTTATGGTGGTGCCCCGGTACTGGGTAAGAAGGTGGCAGGTGCAGGAGTTCTAAGATGAAAAGGATGAGCCCTGTCTTGCTTAGAACCACAACTTCTGGGTGAAGGCCCTTTCTTTCTGTGCTCTTTGTGTCTGCTTACTCAAAGAGAGCGCTTGGTTGCATCATTTTAAGGTGTTCAGGATGGCATATCCCTCTGTGTTAACAGTCACTTCAAAGGATGGGTGGGCTCACTGGGGCCCCGTTTGTGGTTGGCCTTGGCTTGGTGTTGTAGGCCTTGGTCTGGCACACATAGGGCAGAACACTGTGTTGTTTTACCTCCTTAGCAGAGTCATAACCTGAGATCAAGGCAGAAAAATCATTGGGGCCCCTTTGATCAGAATGTGCCCCTGGATGTGGCAGGTATTTCTGTCCTATAAACTTGTTCTTCGCCCCACCCTGTGAGCCCTGTGCCTGCAGAAGGCACTGCAGAAGGTAGGGGGATGATAGTGATTTTTGAGCCCTCCTAGAGTTCCAGGTAAGGCACATCAGGCTGAGAGATTCTGAATAACTTGCCCAAAGGTGCCTAATCGAAAAAACAAAGTCTAGGTCTCTTCAGTCCGCTATGCCATGCTGGCTGCTCTCCTGGTGAATAGACTTCTAAATAAGAAGAAGTATTAGTTCAGAAAACAGAAGTCATGATGAAGATTGTAGGAGGAGCTGAGAGCCAGAGGGCAAGATACCATCTCCTTTGTAGAGAAGCACTTTTTTCCTGAAGAAATAATGACATTCCTAATTATTTTTGCAACTGTTGGGTTTTCTTGATCAGTCATCATCCTGTATTCTAACATACGTTATCTAACTGCTATTGCCACTCCCAGTGATGGCAGATGTTGGGGTTCCTACTATTTATCGGTGAAGAAACTCGGGCTTATTGAAATGAAGTGAACTGCCCAAGGTCAGTGCTGCAAATGCAGGAGCAGTCTTGGAATTGGGGCTTCTGCTTTCAGAAGCTGGTGGTACTGGCTTCTTTCACTGCTCTGGAGGAGGTCTTCATAGATGCTGCTTTCACTGGCTATTTACTGTAAGAGACTTGCCTGCTAGTTACTCACATTGGACAGTCAGAAAATACAGTGAAAAGGCCATTTGGCCTGGTGTGTGATTCCAAGACAGGTTTGTCCACTCTGAATGGGAATTATAACAGCTTCAGAGTAAGGGATTACCACTTAGTAGACATCCTGTGTTGTGTGATAGTGGAATGTAACCAAAGATACTTAAAATATGTGGATTTAAAATCATGTTGTTGTCCTCTGAGTGGATTAATTCTATTACATCTTTGCACATGTCTAACACTGGAGCCCCTAAAGGAAACTGTAGTAATATGTATCTCTCAGAAGCAAAGGTTGGTCTGTCCTTACAACCACAAGTATGAGGCCACATGTAAGGTGTACTTCTGATAGGCTTTCAACATGAGCAGGAGGTAGGAACGTAGGCAAATACCAGATTTTCTTAGGAAATCATATAAAAAGATTTGTTCTGGGAAGAAGACATTTGCTACATTTTTTATATAAAGGACACAAGTAGCAAGAGTCTTTCAACTTTGGACAGTAAGGTGTGATAGAGCAAAGTGCGTCCTAGTTGAAATCCTGAGTCTTTCATGCCTCAGATATATCAGAAACACAAAATCTGTGTTTGGGAAAAAAAATTTTAAAAATGTATTAAGTAGTGTTTGGCATTTGTTTCATAATTCCTTTGGAAGGCACATGAAACATGGACTAGATGTGCATGGGCAAATTTAAAACCTCCTATATGCCCGGTTTATTGCATAAGCACAGGATGCATCTTTTGGTGTGGGAATCAGTCACTACCTCTTGTGAGTAATTAAAGTTGCATCAGGAATAATGAAACATATCGTTATTTCTTGGGTTGCAAAAATTTTGAAAACAAAATAATATATCATCTGAAATCTATAAATGCTGTAAGTAGCTCACCTGTGAAAACAAACTTTTTACAGTCAGCGCTGTATATGCATGGGTTCCATATCTTTAGATCCAACAAACCGTATATCAAAAAGTATTCAACTGCTTGGAGAAAATTGTGAGGGTACTGAATACATACAGAGCTTTTCTCTGGTTGTTATTCCTTAAACAGTACAGTATAAAAATTGTTGATACAACATTTACATTGTAGTAGATATGAGAAATCATCTAGAAGTGATTTAAAGTGTGCAGGAGGATGTGTGTGAGTAATATGTGAATATTCCACTTTATATGAGACTTGAGCATTTATAGATTCAGATATCTGTAGCTTGGGTGGGGGGATCTGTACATAATCCACACAAATACAAAGAAAGATACCTATTCCCTTTTTGAAAAATTGTGGGTAGTTAATTTAGCAAGAACTGTCTTACTATCAACAGTATTCCAAAGCTGCCTTTTTAGTTTCTTAATTATTCACATTTCTGAAATGGCATGTAAATTTTAAGCACACTCTAGTGAGTATTCTTTAGTGCCAAACACCGTGCTGTTTTTAGGTACCTTATTGTGTGGCTCTCAGAACCCCAAGTGAGAAGTTCTGTTGTTTACCATATTTGACAGGTGGAGGTGCTGAGATAACAGATGGGAGTGAAAAAGCTTACCTGGCCACGCGGATTTTGGAGATGGAACCTGAGTCATGAGTTAGTGCAGTCGGACCTGAGTTAGAACGCCTGACTCTTGGGCTGGATTGCTTTTAGTTTAAAGGGGTTTTGGTTTGTTTCTGGTTTTCACGTTTTGTTTTGTTTTAAAGTTTTTGACTGTTGACTTTAGAACAGCCTGAGATGTTCATTCATTCCCCAAGGTGAGTAACTTGAATTCAAGCTTCTTTTCATTAGAAAGATCAGAGAGCCTTACAGTAGTCACAGAGTTCTGCACAGTTCACCCTGCTTCAGCTTCTTGCGTGCTGTGAAGAATGCAGAGGTTGAGGAGTAACACATTCATTCTCTTATTAAATCACCTTATTGCTTGTTCACTCGGTGCTGCTTACATCCCAGTCCTACTTTGTACAACTGGGCACAGAGCAGTGGAGAGCACCACTGCCTGCTCTCGTGGTGTTTACATCCTAACAGGAGAGACAGAAATCAAGCACTATATATGATGGGTCTCATCAGAGTAAGTGATGAGGAGAAAAGATCTGGGTAAAAAAATGTAGATTACAGGGAATATACTACTTTTACTTAGGAATAGTAAGGAAAAACGAGACGAATCTGAGTGGTCCATGAGGCATTTGAGGGAAGAACATTCTGGAAGGGAATGACAAGTATAGAGATCCTGTGGTGAGAGCCTGCTCATCAAACAGAAACTCCTGTCATTTGTAATAATCTGCAATTACCAATTCCTTCCGGATCAGAGTGCCACAGATTTCCCTGGAGAATATTGAGATAGAAGTGCCAGATAACCTAAACTTGCATTTCTGGTTCCAGAGACTCTATAAAGGTTTATAAGATGCCATCCCAAAGATGTGTTCATCAGTTCTGCCTGTATTCTGTCTTTTTGTAGCCTGCTTAGCAGTTGTTTTCTGTCGAACTGCAGTCTCATCCGAGGGAGCAGAAAGCAGGTTGTAGGTGTCTCCTGTGGAATGCTTAGGATGGGTGACCGTATGGTCTCCACAGCTCTGGTTACTGACTTAGAACTGGTAGGAACATTGCCTTTATGATCTCTAAGTATCAACTTGAATTGCTTTCGTATCTCATTGGAAAGGTTCCACTTTAGTCAGTAAAATGTTATCAGATGCTCCACTCTTAAATTTTGCTTTGAAACAGCATTGCAAATTGTTGGTATTGACCCATTGGAAATTATATTTTCTTTCTTTTTTTTTTTTTTTTTTTTTTTTGGTCTTTTTCTTTTTTATCGGTACCGGGGATCGAATTCACAACTGCCTGCATGCAAGGCAGGCGCTTATGTCGCTGAGCTAAATCCCCAGCCCCTGGAAATTATATTTTCTTGAGAAAGTCTCCTGAGATGTGCAGTTTCTTGCTGGACCTGCATAATACAATGTATTATTGAAAACCTTGTGAATATTACTCATGGTAACAGTCCCATGCTGCAAACCTGATCAGCTGGTTTTCAACTTGCTCACTTTTAAAACACATTTTTAAAAACTATCCTTTCTTATTCTAGGGAGCATAAAGGTATCAGAAGGCCACTCATAGCATTTCATTTCTGGTATCCCTCAATGTGGAATAAACAATTAACCTAATTTGAGTTTGAATTGCCTCCGAAATATTTCCTTTATGCTTGGCAGCCTTATGCAAAAATTTCCGCCTGTTGCAAATTAAAAGCCTTAGTCGTAACCCCCTCTGAAGAAAGGTTCCAATAATGGGAATGTTGTCAGACCCATAACTGCGCTCTGCACTGCTAGGGGCCTCCAGGATCCTGGTTAATGTAGGTAGTTGTAGGGAAGGGAGGCCTTGGCAGCCACACGGTTCCCCACTTGACTGCTCTTTTTCCCCAGTGAGCAAGAAAAGGAGCAGTGATCCAGCAGAGGGTCTCAAAGGAGGTCTGAAATCATCAGGTAACATGAAGCGTGAATGTCCACAGGTTGCTGGGGGAGTAGCACAAAGGCCCTGAGTCTTGAAGATACAGATAATTCTTTTTCAGACACCCACATTATGGGAGAGGTTTTCTTACGGATTAAACGGGACCCAAGTGCGCAAGGCTAATAGGAAGCGTTGAAATGCAGATTTTTTTTGTTTTTTGGTTTTTATTTTTGTGCTGTTTATGATCTGCTAGCAGGAATATTTCACAGCATCAAAGACATGGCCAGAAAGCAAAAAAAAAAAAAAGTATACACACACACACACTCACACACACATACAGACGAGACATACACACATACACAGTTCTATATCTCACAACCCTGATACCACATATGGCCTTTCCAAAGGCAGTATTGTATGTTGTTTAGTCTTGGAACTTCTTTTAAAGATAGGATGTCATTTACAATCCTCGGGCCATATGTTTACTCAGACTTAAGAAACATGGACTAATCTTTTTCTATTTTGAGGAGTAATAAATTGAAAAGATAATTACATAATATGGTGCATAATGTAACTCTGGCTTGAGCCATATGTGTTTAATTTTAGAAAAACATGCGTGATGACAGGTTATGAAAGGATGAAACTATTTTAGTCTTTTTAAGGATTAGAAGCATGATTTTTTTTTATAAAGTAAGTGTCCCCTCCACCCCCGCCGAACTCAGAAAAACAACCCAATATACAAGCCGAATGAAAAACACCCTACCAAAAGTAATTTGTTTTTGTGGTGGCCACTGGCAAATAAAATTCAAGTTAGAGGACATATTACTTGCAAGCTCTTGCAAAATTAGATGCAGGCTTCTGTGTGCTGGGGGAGAATGAGTGGCCTGTCATTCTAATGCCAGAGCAGAGTTGGCTGCATTTAGAATCAAGCAGAAATTTATCATGGGATTGTCCAACTAGAAACACCACCATGTATCTCTCATTATTGAGCATGATGGTGGGTTGGGTATAAATATTAAGGTAGGAGAAGCATGAGGTCTTTTCTTTCTTCTACAGACATATGCTGAAAGCCTACACACATAGTACTATGCTTGGTACCTGAAGCGTCATGTAAAATAAAATACTTCCAACTAGACTGTAAAGCAAACAGGAGGCTCAAATACTGAGATCCACTTTGGAACACTTTTTGAATGTCACTCTGTCTATGATTCTGATATGGCGGCAGAATTTTCAGGTGTGGTGAGTCTCTGTCCTCATCCATGAAACCTGCAATGTGCTATGTACCTTGGTAAAGGAGAAATAAGGTTGCAGATGCAGTTCAGGTTGTTTGTTACATGACCTTGAGAAAGGCAGCTCATCCTGGATTATCTGAACAGGCTCAGTAGAATCAGAAGAGTCGTTAAGAGTAAAAAAGGATTGAAGAGAGAGAACCAAAGAGATGGAGGCATGGTTGGCTGGACCCACTGCGGTTGGCTTTGAAAATGGAGTGATGGGTTGAGGAATGTGGGCAGCCTCTAGGTGCTGGGAAAAATGAAGAAATAGATTCTTTCCTGGAAAGATCACTGGCCTGATTTGAATCCACCAAGATCCATCATATAATCTCCAGGACTGTAAGACAAAAAAAGAGTGTTTGTTTAGACTGTTAAGTTTGATAATTTGTTAGAGCAGCAAGGAGAAACAAATACCTCCTGTTAGGACCACATTTCTGGTTTTGTGTGGTGTTTAATACGGTTCTTCTCAAACACTGCTACATGTCAAAATCACTGGGAAAGCTGTACAAAGTACTGCCACCTGGATCCTCAACCCCAGAAGTTCCAGTTTAATTGGCCTGGAGAATGGCCTGAAGATCAGAATTTTGTAAGATCCTCCAGGGATTGTAGTGGGCAGCAGGGGACATGGAGCACAAGTTTAGGGCTGAAGTTTTTTTTATTGTCTTTCTCATTTTTATCGGTACCAGGGATCGAATTCACGACTGCCTGCTTGAAGGCAGGCGCTTATGCTGCTGAGCTAAATCCCCAGCCCCAGGGCTGAAGTTTGACTTTAGACACACTTGGCTTCTCAGTATCTGTGCAGGCCCCGCCATCTGTGTGGGCAAGTTATTTTCTTAGCTTCAGTTTTCCCTTTGTAAAACGGAGTGCACAATCAGGAGATGTGAAAGGGAGCATGTCTGTCTGGCATGGTAATTGGTCAATAATTGGTAGTGATTGACCATTCTTGTGGTGATGGTTTGGAGGTACAGCACATGGCTACCTGATAAGGTAAGCACAGCCTGGACAATTCAGATGCCTTCATTCACAACTGCCTTCAGGGCTGGCTTATTATACCTGTTTTATACTGGAGGATGGTGGCCCTCAGGCAAGGTGAACACTCATGTGCAGGTAACAAGCATGGGAGTCAAGACCTGAACCTGAGTCTCACTTCCGGTTTGGGCCACACAGGGGTCTTTCTCCTGGACTCTGGGGAGACTTCCACGGCAGACAGTTATGCAGGGTTGTAGGAGCTAGCTTATGAGGCACCGTAGTGGTATTTCACACACTGCAGTCGATGTCAATCCTTGGGCTGGGGGTGGCATTTCCTACCAGATTCAGTCTCTGCACGATAAACCACATTGCCCTGTTGCCTGCCGTCAGGGAAAAGGGGGTTGAAAGCCGCGGGAATGATGATTCTTAACAGTTATAGGCTGTTTGCCTCTGTCTGCCGTTTAATCTAATCTCGGGTTCAGTTGATACTATTGATTAGTTTCTTTTCAAAACCCTATGCAGCCTATGGGGTTTCTCGGCGTGGGGTAAAGTGTTATTCTTCTCATACCTGAGTTCAGAAGAAAAGGTGAAAGTATACAATTAATTTGCCTGCACTTTCCCACAAATTGTATGCTGGATTTCTGTGAAATGCTGTATGGAACAATATTCCAAGCAAATTATTGTTATTTACTGTGACTTTTGCCTGCATATTTAAAGTCAACAATTATGTTTCTTTTTTCTCTTAATGGCCTTTGTACAACATTTTTAGAAACCTGGTCAAGTGTCACTAAGAAAATCTGTGCTTTGACCGTAATTCTTAGGAAATGAGTTAACAATGTGAGAACTAACCACCAAGTCCCCTTTCCAAAAGAAATAGCCCCAGTACCCCAAGGGGCCCATCTCCCATCCTCTCTTTGCCATAGTTATCTGTAGACCATTGTCACAAGTTTCATTTGTCTTAGAAATATATTTTCTGCCACCGCTGCTGTCATTGTCACTATGAGCAAATATCAAAATTGAATTTGTTTTGGAAATACTCTGTCCTTCTCATAGCATCCATTTTCATGGGCATTTTTGTCCTCCTTGGGATTCTATTATTTTTTTGCGTCCTTTACCTTTATAAGTGAGAAGAGCTTCTTTCCTATAAAAGCAGGCCGTACAGGATCCCCGCCTCCTCTGCATCCGATCTTGAACTGGTCCCCTCCTATTTGTGAGGCCTATTTGTTCAACCCTTACCCACCTAGTCATCAACATAAAGGCCGACAGCATTGAACCAGGTGTGTGTGTTAACAGTGCCTTTTCTCATGTGGAGATCCAGGTAGGCGTTCGTTACATCATGCGCTCATGCTCACTACAGAAACTAAAAGTGACAGAAGGAAAAATTTGCTGTTTTGAGAAACTAGTTGGGCTTAGTTTAATACAGATCTCTTATCTAGTGAAGACCCTTGGCTGAGCTGGGTATGGTGGTGCATGCATGTCATCTCAGCACTCTGGGACCTGAGGCAAGAGGATCTCAAGTTTTAGCTCAGTATTCAAGATTTCACAAGATCCTTTTTCAAAATAGGAAAATGATTGGAAATGGACTGAATGGAAAGGACCTGGGTACAATCCCTAGTAACATAAATATATGTGTGTGAGTGCCCACGCGCACGTGCGCACGCGTGTACACACACACACACACACACACACACACGTACACACACAACCTAGTCGATTGAATGATTTTCAGAATTAAGATGGCAGGACATAGGATGGGTAGAGAGTCCAACATATGTAAAAGTTAAGATACAAGGATTAGCTGCCATCTGTATTTCCTCTGTCCTAAAGAAACAGTTGTTATATTTTGTCCTTTTTGGCTCTAGATGCATTTAAAAGGTATAGAACATTTTAGTTGTAAGAGTCTCCTTAACTTTTCTTTTTTCATTCCTTGGAATTAAACACCATCAGGAATTTGGGGTCTTTCATCTGTCCTTTGACAATGAATTGTACTTACTTATTCCATGAAGGATGGACATGTATCTTTATATTTTTACTAAAATAAGCATATTTGGAAAACACCAACATTTCTTTAGACTACATGCCAAGAAATAGAATTGCTGTAGAACAGTTTAATGTACTCACGAAGATCTGTTGATCCTCAGTTCAGAGCCTGCTGCCTCATGAGATGGAGAGGATGTATGCACCTGTAATCCCAGCTACTCAGCAGGCGGAGGCAGGTGAATCACAAGTTTGAGAAAAGCCCGAGCAATTTAGTGCAAACCTGTTGACACGCACATGTCTTTGTGCCCCCTCCACCGTCACTCCAAAGTGGCTCACAGAAGCCCAGTGAAGGATGCGCGAAGCTACAGCCAATAAAAATAGAATAAAAGAGGGGAAAACATGAGCAGCCTGAGGAGGGAAGGCTGTGCCAGTGAGGGAGGCTTTGAGCTGCTGTGCTTTATTCTGAGGTATGATGTGTAGGCCAGTCCCTCCTCAGCCTGACAAGATGGCTTTTCTGTCAGTATGAGAAATGCCATTCACACCAACTGATGCCCTCCCTGGCAGCTGTCTCCCTTGCTAGCTTTTATCCTTTCTCTTGATCTACTATCTAGAGATGCTGGCAAGCACGAGAATGTAAGTTCTGAATAGGAATGGGTGCCTGTTTTCTATGTAGGTTTATTTTTGAAAACCTTTGTGAACTTTTGAACTGCTACTGCCCAGTGCAACAGTTGATAAATAAAGATAATACTGATGTGAGTACAGTGTCTTTTGTATGTAACTGGATAGGAATATGGGTTTCAGGTAAGTTTCTCTTAGAAAATAATTCTAAATGTCATACTTTTTGGAATGGGGGTCCAGTGCTAAAGGCCTCATGCTTGGACATGAGGCAGACCGTGACTGTCAGACTGTCAGATCAAGCTAGTTAGCAGCCAGGCAAGTTTTTATATATATATATATATATATATATATATTTTTTTTTTTTTTTGTCTTTTTCATTTTTTTATAGGTACCAGGGATTGAACTCATGACTGCCTGCTTGCAAAGCAGGCGCTTATGCCGCTGAGCTAAATCCCCAGCCCCAGCCAGGCAAGTTTAGCTGAAGAGGCTTCAGTTTTTTTGTGAAATTCAGATTTCCCTCCACTTGTGTGTTCTCCTGAAGCCTCTGTTCACTACTATAAGTTTATGTTCTGTTTTTGAATGTCATAAACACTTTCTAGTTCCTACCCACATAGGTTGAAAAGCTGGGAAGGGGCTTCTGTGATTGCCTGTGTGTGACCCTTGTGCAGGAGAGTTTCTTCTTTTTATGAACAAAACCTCTGGGAGAAAAAATACTTGGTTTTCTCCTTAAGCATCTATTGAAAATCATAAATTCTGTATTCTGATAAAAGTAAAACTGAAATAATAATTGTACATAAATTAATAAAACAGAGGAAATGTGTGCCTTATAAACACTCAATCCAATTAGCCACCCGGGTTTTAGATCAAAGTCAAGAAAATTTTGAAATAGTTTCATTGCCATCATGCCAACCATGGCCAAGTAATGATATTCACAAGATTTATCTCAGTATTGATGACATATTCTTAATATTTCATGTACCTCTCATTGTCTTTCTTTTTTTGTACTAGAATCGAACCCAAGGCTTTGGCATTGAACCCAGGGCTTTGGCCCTTTTTATTTTTTGTTGTAAGAGGACTTTACCAAACTGCTAAGTTGCCCAGGCTGTGTCCAAATTTTTAATCTCCTGCCCCAGCTTCTAGAGTGCTAAGATTATAACTATGTGGCCACTTGCCTGGCTCAAAAAACATTTTTCTTTTTTTTTTTTTTTTTGAAGAGTAAATTCAACTGCCAAATCCTTCTAGGAAAACTTGCATTGTTCTGTGTGAGGTGAGAAGTGAAATTTTTTTGTGTATTTTTAAAGGGTTATATATGTGGAATACTGATGATAATTTTTGCATTACTGAGATTTAGTATCAATGTTTTCAGTTATTTCAGCTTTTTGTCACTGTGCTCATCTTAATCATCTTGAATTAACAGGTAGACATGTGCTAGATATTTGGCCAGCTATCAAATAGGGGAATCTTCCAGGGCTGTTTGGAACCCGTTGTCGCTCCTGTGGAGATGGCCCAGTGACAGGTGTGCGTGCAGCATGGAGGGCAGTGACTTCCAGAAGTGCTGTACACAGTGGCTCTGCCCCACTTTGCTTGGGCTGCATGGCCTCTGATTAGTGGTGCTTACACATCTTGGTGTCAGATCTCCATCACTGAGACATGGTCAGAGCGACTTCAATGTGCCCATCTCAGAAGGCCGGGGGCTACCGTCACTGCTTCCTGACCTCTTGCAGGTGGCCAGGCTTGCCTTGGGGCAGGTGAGCGTTAAGCTGTGGTCTTTGTGGCATCAGGCTTTCAATTTTATGAACTTTGGAGAAATGGATAGGGCTTTAGGACTGTAAAAATATGCAAATAGTTGCATTGAGCCCTGCTTGAGTTTATTTCTCTATTGTGCGGGGCAAGTGGTTGCATAAAGGGCATTTCCTTTTTCCTTTAAGGATAATCACCTTTTCTTAAATTTTGTACTTTGTAACCATTTTTTCACTGTGTAGGATCCTTTTAGAAAGTGTATCATAGTGGACCTGGGTATTTAGTTCAGCAGCATAAGCACCTGCCTTGCAAGCAGATGGTCGTGAGTTCGATCTCAGTACCAGAAAAAAAAAGTATCATATTGTGAAGTTGTTTGATTCCTTTTGGAATAGGTACATGTTTGTGTGTACATGTGTATAATTACCTCTACATACTCCTACACATATACACACATATATACATGTGTGTATGTACACACATACATGCATATATTGTAGTTAAGTTTTCTAAACTCAAATACTTCAAGTTTCTTTCCTAACACAAAAAGTCACTTCTACTAACTGTTGAAAGATAAATATTATAATCAACGAGGCATCACAAATAACTTTTATGTCTAAATCAAGCTATTAAATGCTTTTTTATTTTTAAGTAGATAGGGGAATAAAATAGCTGTATAGTTCATAAAGTAGTATGCCATTACTGCCTGCTGTGCCCAAGAATTATGCCAGCTTTTTACACTCATGAAGTAAAAGCAGATTAGAACTGTGATCAATGTATTATCCTATATTTCTTATTGTGCATTATATTTCCTTTCTGAGCACCTTTGTAGACTAAATGGCTACTAATGACATAATTACAATTGTTTGTCACCACCATAATGCGTGATTTCCTATCTCATCATGAAGATGTAAGTTAGATAAAGGAGGAGTTTTGGCAGGAAGACAAAGTGCTGTGATTTATTGAAGGCCAGATGTGGTTGTTAAAAGCTTTTCTACAGCAGGCTCGATTGAGTGATGTGAAACGGGAGCAAAATCAGTCTGCACACCCAGCCCATGGCTCTCGGTATGCGTGACACAGTTGCTCATGGAGGCATGACACACGAGCCACATGTTTTATTGTTGTGTACAAGTTTTATGTTGGAATTTCAGCAGGGTGAGAAAGGTTCACATTAGCTTATACCAGCAAAGGAGGTGTTTAAAGGAAACTAATGAGACTAAAGTGCTGGTGATATTTTCAATTTGCTTCGCACTTCATAGCGAGAACTGAAATATCTTATGTGTCTGTCAAGTTTCGAAGAGGGAAAATCCCAGCAACTGCTTTTTGTTTTTAAATGAGAGAGGTTAATATGAGAATTCAAAGAAATCAGAAGCAAGCGGAGGCAAGATATTACTTAAGTACTCTTGATGTACGTATTGCCCACATATAAATAGTCAGATTAGATAGATGCTTCCAAAGAAAGAGGCACAATTTCTGATTTTAGTGTTATTTGCACACACAAAGCTTTGTTAAAATAATGTTAAGACCCTTGAGGGCTAGATGCTATGAGGGCTTAAAAGATGTAGAAATGTTGTATTTTAAGCTCATTGGTCCATAGTCAGAAGGTAAAAGTCATCTGCACCCACTTCTCCTCTTTTTTCCTGCCCTGCCCTTCCATTTCCTTCCCTCCCCTCCCCTCCCCTGTCCTTCCCTTCCCTCCCTTCCTTTCCTTCCCCTCCCTTCCTTTCCCTTCCCTTCCCTTCCCTTCCCTTCCCTTTCCTTCTCTGCCCTTCCCTTCTCTTCCTTCCCTTCCCTCCCCTCCCCTCCCTTTTCCTTCTCTGTTCTTTCCTTCCTCCATCCTTGTGCCTTTCCTCCTCCTTGCTTTGCTGCTCTGAACTGTGTTGTAAGAAGATACTTATATTATAGAGAATGTAGTATGGGGCCTGAAACTACCTAGACATAGAAACTTTCCTGCCTTTGCCACTGTGGATGCAAAAGTTACTTTAAATAGTGTAAGTCAAAGGTATCAACATAGCATGTTCTTTGGGTTAACTTTCTTAGACCAGTGAGAGCTTTGGGGGCATAGTTGTAACAGTGTGACTTTTTCGTACTCTGAGCCTAAAATATGAGGTCTCCCTATTTTCTTCTCTCACAGTACTGTAAACTTGATCACCTTTATAAAGGCTGCCATGCTTTGGGTCACTATGCTTCGTGGTTATAGTATATGTATTCATCGTGTGACTTGTTTAATGCTATAAGTTCCAGAAAGGCAAGTACTATAACCCCAAAGCCTGTTGTATTGTCTGATGCATAATATACATTCAAAAAGTATTGGAGTGAATCAGAAGGCCCATATGGAATACTAACTTTATTTAGATACCCCTTGAAGAGCATTAGAAAATGTACCCAGGTGAAACTTACCCAAATTATAACTGTTTGTCCACATGGGTCAGTTTAGACGGCTCCTGGGCCACCTCCTTCATTTAGGGTTTGAAGCTCTAGAGTCCAGTTACATGGGTCGCTTCCCATTGCAGTTTTCCTCCTTGGCAGCGTCTTGCAATTCCAGGGATCACCACTTGATGGCTGGCCCCTCTTCTTCCACAGTGGAAAACATGAAGCCAGAAAGACAAAGGCTTCCACCCCTCCTCAACGCTGTCTCTTCCGTTTAATAAAGTCTTTGTGACTCATATATTGAACCTCAAAGAGATGAGTAAAACTGAAACGCATTGAGTGAAGTTTCAAAGAAATAAGACACTTAGAACCAAGCCTGCCTTCATGGGTGTGTGATCTGCCCAGTTGTACCAGACTTGCTGATTGGAAGGAACCCATACTTGGTTTAATATTGTTGTTCCTGTTGTCTTGAAAGTCTTAAAACTGTTTTTTAAAATTATTTTGAAAAAATCTTTTAAAAATTTACTGATACGCCTTTCCCAGCCAGAAGTGGTGTCATTGGAAGGTAGTTGCCTCAGGCCTGATTGTCCCCGACTGAGGTTCTTAAAGGCTTTTTTTGTATATCATAGTAAGTCTGTCCCACGAGACACAGCATATGGGCTAAAGCTTTGGTTCTGGTTTCTGGTTCAAATCTTGCTCCACAACTGGATATATTGCTTCATCTTTCCAAATCCAGTTTTCATTTAGAATGTGGAGGTGATTAGGTATCTGTGTCCTAGGCTTGAGGTGTGAATTAAATGACACGGGCTTCCCCAGCCTGGCTCAGACTTGAGTGTTCAATCACTGTGAGGTCTTGTTGGAACTGCTGGTCACCAGATTTTTGTTTCTACCTGACATTGAGCTTTCTGCCCTTTGTGGTGGTCGCTCCCTGTGGAGTTGGAGGACTCTTGTCACACTTTGATGCCCTTACATGCCTATCTATACTCAAGCTTTTGTCTGTAGGCTGCTGCTGAGTTCAGGATAGGCTGAACCCTCAGACTTGACTCCTCTATCTGCCTTCCAAGGCCCTATTGCTCACTCTCCTCTGCTTCCTTCCTTCTGTTGGTGAGTAATTAACATGAAAAGAATTTGTGTAATCAAACTGTGTTTTGTAACCCATTTCTGTTTCCCAGTGGTTCAAAGATGTCTCTTACTTAATGTCATTTAAATACATTTTAATACAGTTCAGAGATTTATAATTAAAGCTGCCCCTTCCCAGTTCACATAGAAAGTTGCAAAACATTGACCATATGAAAGGATTTCACATTCCTGGGAAGGAAGGATATATTACATATGATGTGGGATGTGATTCATTCATTCACTCAGCAGTTACTGAAGACTTCTTGGTGTACTGGGCAGTGGTATAAGTACTAGAAATATAACTGTTAACAAAACTGCTAGTGACCATACTCTTGTGTCACTGATATTTCAGTAGGATACAGATAAGAAGTCAAGCACAAAGAATAGTATTAGAAAAAAAATGCCCTGTGGAGAAATAATACAGAATGTGACTCAGAATATCCCTGGGTCATCTTGATGTGGTAGCCTGGTAAGGCTTCTTCAAGAAGCTTTGTGAGCAGAGGTGTAAATGACAGGTGAGGAGCAGAGAAGGCTGGGATGTAAGTGTTCCAGACCTGGAACTGCCAGTGCTGAGAAGCTTGATGTCATGTGACAGGAGGAGGGAAAGCAGACGAGCATGACTGGCATGGATTATGCTAGATCAAGAGAGGTACAGTAATGAAATGACTCACGCCATGTAGCAACTGACTGATGAATATGTAATCACATGCAGATATAAGGCAGATATTATTAATAATCTATTGCCTAACAAAAATAATTTTAAAAATGCATCTTTTTACCCATTAAAGATACTTTGTAGAAACCTAACAAGCAGATTTCCTGATGAATATAGTTCTATGTTTCCCAGATGATTCCAAGATGCTTTTTCACACCACGGGTAACGGGTCGACTTCCTTCTGTGAGACCTAGAAACAAGTAGCCACTACCTATAGAATTTACTCTCCTAGATCTTGTGTCTCTTAGCTGGGCTGGATTTGAAATTAGACAAGACTACAATTAGAGTTGACTGTTAGTGTTGAGAAAGGAGGTACAGAATTGTTTTTATGAAATACAAATCCTGTATCTCCAAAAACAGCTGCTGAATGTCTTGGAGGTAACCTAGTGGATGTGGGGGACTTACATGTTAATCTTGGGGAGCCAGTAACTCTTATAGAAATTGGTGCCATATTGTTGATGCTTTTTTTTTTGTCTTTTTCCTTTGTATTGGTACGGGGATCGAACTCATGACTGCCTGCTCGCAAGGCAGGCGCTTATGCCGCTGAGCTAAATCCCCAGCCCCTTGTTGATGCTTTTGATGAGTCTTGTCTCCATGACTTCTGAGAAACTCTGTGCCAAACAGGACATTTAAATGTGCCAGATAAAAAGATCGACTCAACTCTGAGAGTCCATTAGTTCAGTTTTCCAAGGTTAATTTTCAGACACCATGTAAATAGATGAAAAGAATCTGAATTTCTGTATTTTAACACTTCTTTGAGTACATAAATGTTCTTTGGGAAGATTGTCTGTGAATTCTGTCAGACTTTATCATTAAGTTTTAGAGAATTTTGTGTTTTGCTTAGAAATCATTTTTTAGTTTTATTATAACATTTACTAGCAATGGTGCTAATTATTCTAAATATGACCCTGGAAATCAACTACGTCAGCTTGAAAAGACTTATTTTTTTAACAGAATTTAGTTTTAAAGGCAGGTTTTATAGACATTATGGTAATACCATTGTTATCTAATTAGCATCTACTGAGTTAAAGGTATGTGATATTATAGGCAAGTATACATAAAATTATAAATTGTGACATTTTATGAGTTTTTATCATGAGTTTTATACAGTCATCATTGCTTAACAGTGTGAAATGTGGCCTTAGACATTACATCATGTGAAGACCAAGAGACACACATATACACACACACACAAAAAAAACCCGAGGATCAATTTTTGATTATAATAAAGTTTTAGTTTGAGGCACTTCTGAATATGTGTCATGCATATGAGTCATGATTTTCACACCAAACCTCTGACCTATTATGATTATGTTTCAACTTCAAGGGGTTTTCAGTATTTAAATTTTAAACCTAATTCTAAGGTTTCAAAATGATTCACATTCAAATCTACTTTTATGTTTTATAATTAAATAAGAAAATATTGCTTATACATACATTTTTACTATTCTTGGACATATTATAATTATTTCTTTAATTTCACCAATAAAATAGCCCATTTCTTCATTAGTAAATTACACGGCTATCTCAATAAAAAAAAATTAGTTCGAATATGGCTTGCCATCTCAAATAGTCATTTCAGTTTGGAATTTTCTCATTTCTTTCATTAGTTCTCTTTGTAAAATGTGAAGACACTTTCTAGTAAATTAATCCTTTCTAAGCGGCAAAATAACTTCCTTTTTGGAAAGAGTTATTAGAGTCTTATTCTTTATAATCTTAATACCACTTATATTAGAGTGAACAATACATGAAAAATTACACTAGTTAAAAAAAAGAATGATTACGACCTGGGCCAAGTACATTGCAATTATATGTTCATGGAAAAGTGAGCTTTCTACTGGGAAAAGCATGATATGGATGCCCGTGAAATTTCCAAAGTTTAAGTATTTTTGTAAATTAGGTTGTTCCTAGTTAAACAGGTGGCTTTAAAGGCTGGTTTCACTGTTGTTTTAATCATAGTTTAGTTACCATGGAGAAATATGCAAGTTAGCATTTATACACAGAAGTGAAATTTATGCTGCATAGATAATAGCCTAAATTTAGCTTGACTTAAGTTTACCACTTCCTTTTTTTAACAAAAAAGAATAATAATATATCATGTATATCTATTAACAAGTTAATTTCTTTAAACACTGCTGGTATATTTTTAGAGAATTTCTTTCCTTAAGCATTACTGTATGCCTCTGTCAATGTGACCTCTTCCAAAGCCGAACGTCACGTAACTTATGACATCTGGTTGGCACTCATTGTGTTACTCTTAGGTTTCATAAAAGACTTAGCTGAATTCAATCAGTTATGTGGTTAAAGAAAAGTAATGTTTGGACACATTGCATCTAGTTGAGTTGCATAAAGGACTGTTACTGCCTGCTAAACATCTTTAGAAAAGGTGTACTGCTGATAAGACCAATCTGATTTCAGAGCCCAGTTACAGTTTTGATTTGCATTTGGATATATTTGGTAATAGAAATTCTGAGGCAGGTCCTCCTCATAAACTATTTTGATCTTGGTGCCCTCTTGATGGGGTAACAATTTTTTTACCCTGAATTAAGAAGTTCACGTGTGTGGAATACAGCAACCGTGAGGTACCTTTTCTATCAATTGATTTACCCACTGCCTCCAAGCGAAGGCTAAGTTTTCAAGGACAAATGTAGTAAGTGTCCTGATCCAACATGAGGTCCCCCAGCACGGAGAGAGAGCAGCAGATCCCTTTCAACACCAGCTGTTCTCACAGATATAGATTGCTGCAGTGAAATTTTCTTAATATAATTCAGGAAGCTCTAGAGAATTCTCCAAAACAACTGTGCCAACAAGGAAAATGTTGAATTTTTCATCAGCTGCCCAATGCTGAGAGTTAGTGGGCAATCCGTTCATTCATGACCAGATGTTCAGTGTAGTAACACTCCGCAGTTAACTTGAACCTTGTGGCCTGTTTACCATTGGCTGCAAGGACATTGGCAGCAACCTGGCATTGGAGAATTGAGGCCCGCACAGGCGAAAGACCGAAGTGTGTGTCTGTGGCTTCCTGGTTTTTCACCAGCAACCAGACAAGGTAGGGAGTGATGAAAGGAAGGAACGACATCACATCAATCATTTCGGAGGCTGGGAGAATTTGCTGTGCGCTTGTGTCATTGGGGAGCAATAGGTAGATTCTTACACTCATTATTATTTGGTGAGAAAGGTGGTCTTTGTTTAGATGGACGGCTTTTTCTGCCTGTGTCTAAACCATAACACTTTCTGTAGGAGCATTAAGTTTGGGTGGTTAAGACAGTAAGAAAGGGCTTTCTAATTTTAAATTGGAGGAAGTTAATAAAGTTGACTCTTGATATTGAAATCTTTACTAGGTTCAGTCTAGAGTTGGAAATGTGATATTTTTGCTTTAGGCAAACTTTATTATCTAAGCATACTTAGGTCTTCCATTTGTACAGATTTACTGTATTCTTTGTGTGCATGTTTTGAGTCTGTGACTTGTTTTTGCTGTTT